TAGGGTAGCAGTGAACAGTAGCGCATGGTGGCCATGGGTGATATTTTTGTACAATGAATAACCCCTGTAATATTAGATGTATCAAAATTAAACAAAAAAGGATCGGGCCATCCCTACTATACTCTGCGACCTTATACACATAAAAATTAGATTTTTCTGAATAAAATGCCTTTTTATGCTTGATTCAGCTTCACTTTCATTCATTATTGCTTAAAACTACACAAAAACGTTTGAAAAGTTGCACATATAGGTCAATATATAGGTCATAAGCCTGTTACCTGTGGGATATATATAGGGGGGTAACTCGCCCATTTTCTCAGGCACTTCACAATTCATCACATATGTGTCAATTGTGCAATTGGTAAAGTTGATACCAAACAACAAATAGTTCACAGGCTATCTCCTGATGCACCCAGGCTAGATTGCACTCTGTTTCACTCATTTCAGCACCCGGTAAGCATGGTTACTAATACATAAAGTTGTATTTATTGAAGATGGGTAAAATATCTGTTTGCATTCTAATTACACTATTTTATATGTTTTCCCACTTCATTCAGAATACAGATTAAATTAGCAATTAGTCAATAATGTCAATAAATTTTATTTCCATAATTACATTTGAGGAAAATCATCTTTTTCTAGTGAAATATGTCCAATGAACAATTTCTGAGGGTCACTGTCAATTCTAGGCAAAGGAAGTAAACTAAGGTTGCTATGGTGGCACTTGTCGGATGTTTTAGGATATCTGAAATTTTGGTGTTGTTCATCGGTTACGGGAAGTGTGTCTGTTGCTAGTTTGTTGTTGTGATGGGTTTCCTGGTATTCCTTTTGATATCATTGAGCCTTGTTGATGTCATAGATGCCCATTGATGACGTCATAGTTATGATGATATTACAGTAACTATGACATCATCAAACAAGACAGAAACATCATAGTATCACTGTACTGTTTCGTTTTTCACATGCACATGATCTCAAAACATCATTTTTCACCATAAAAGAAATGTTATTCATGAAAACTACAGTACAGTAGCGCACGGTGGTCATGGGTGATACTTTTGAACAATAAATAACCCTTGTAATATTACATGTATCAAAATTTAAAACAAAATTAGCACTAAAATTGGCATATACATGATGAAGTGGACTATTTTGGCTTCATATTTAAAAAAAAAAATCGAATTTGGCTTGAGACTACATTTTCTGTGTCTACACAACAAAAACTAGCTTTTCATGTAATCTATTTTTGTACTCAGCACACGCGTTAATATTGTGAAAATGCAGTTGAACGACCTATGCTAAAATGTGAGTATTTCTGTTACCGAGTAGGTGATATTCAATTCAAGACAGGTTTTAAGAAAAAAATACTACTTGCGCGGGTCAAAGGTTTTGTTAAAAATCATTTATTTTATTATTGGAGATTTAATTTCTTAATGGTCTTTATAAAGGTCGTAATTTAGGTTACTTGTACCATTTCTTAGTTGACAAAGAATTACGTTAATATTGCGATTTCCAGAAAATTTTAAAACATCAATTGTTTCAGATTGTACATAATGTGTTTGGCCTAAATAACTTATGAAATGTTTGGTAGATTGAATGTCATGAATAGTAGGAGCAATTCTATTAAATCCATTAAATATGGAAGGGAATAATCTTTTATTATAATTTACAGTACGGCATAATGGCACCCTCGATATCCAGGGGTTACGCTCACTCCGAGAAATTTCTCACTCTACACTAACAATCCAACTGTAGGTAGCAGAGCAGCAGGTGGTGCAGCTGTAGCTGTCCATTAAATATTCCTCACAGAATTATCAAGTTAAACACAAATTTACAGGCTGTTGCTCTCTGTGCAACATTACACAGACAAATATCCGTCTGTTCAATTTATCTCCCTCCGAGTATAGTTTTCACTTGTGAGCAACTCAATAACATCGTCTCCCAGCTCCCATCACCATTCATAATCCTCGGTGATTTCAATAGTCATAATAGTCTGTGGGGCTCTCCAAACACAGACGTGAGAGGAAGACGTATCGAGGAAATTATAGATAAAAACAACTTGTGCCTTTTTAACAACAATACCCCTACCTATTTACACCCTGGTACAGGCTCTCGTACCCACATTGATCTATCATTATGCCATCCTTCCATTCTTCTTGATTATGACTGGAGGGTAAATGATGATCTTTGTGGGAGTGACCACTTTCCATTTTTTCTTAAGAATATCGGGACTCCTCTTGATGATCCTCTACCTCGATGGAATGTGCACAAAGCAGATTGGGTCTTAAGTCAACACATGTGCAATGAGAAGCTAACCACAGAAAATTTTACTAACCTCGACGACCCTATCAAAACTTATACTGAAACACTCACTTCTATTGCCCAAAAGACAATTCCAAAATTCGCTCCAATACCTACGAAGTTCTTTTTATCAGAAGAATCTTTTAAAACATGCAGTAATCGGGCAGCTGCTCTAAGACGCTACTTGAATTGCCCAACTGCTTCAAACTACAGTGATTTTAAAATTTGGCGGTCAAAGGCTCGGCGATCAATTATACTTGACAAAAGAAACAGCTGGAGAGAATGTGTATCAAATATATATCATCAAACACGTCCTCCAAAAAAGTATGGGATATGATTAGGAAAATAAGTGGGAAAAAGAAAAAGTCAACATCCTCCAACCTCATTAATAAAAACAAAACGTTTTAGTCTAGGTCTGAAATTGCTGATGCATTTGCAAAAAACATAGCTAAAAACATAGAAAAAAAAGGGAAAAGAAACGAAAGTTACACAAAGAAAGTTATAATGAGCCATTTACTCTACCAGAACAAGTTTACGCTTCCGGAAAGATTCCCGATTCGTGGAAGAACTCCACAATTATACCTATCCCAAAACTGGGAAGGGATGCTACTGACCCAAACAACTATCGTCCTATTTCTCTGACTAGTTGTGTATGTAAAACTTTAGAACGAATTATAAACACAAGACTGGTTTGGTTTCTTGAGGCCAACGATATAATTTCCTCTCTTCAAAGTGGTTTTAGAAACAGAAGGGGGACAAATGACCATCTCATCAGACATTCATTCGAGAAGCTTTCTCCAAGAAGGAATACCTTGTTGCCGTGTTATTTGATCTTGAGAAGGCCTATGATACTACATGGCAGTATGGCATCATGAAAGATCTTCACGACCTTGGCGTACGTGGAAACCTTCCCAATTTTATATATAATTACCTATCCGATAGACACTTCAAAGTCCGTGTTGGATCAACTTTTTCTGAAACGTCTAAACAGGAAATGGGAGTCCCACAGGGTGGAATCCTATCATTCACCCTGTTTGGTCTTAAAATCAATGATATAGTCAAATGTCTTGGTCAATCAACAGAAGGGTCGTTATTTGTGGATGACCTCTTGATCTGTTACAGATCTAAGAACATGCACACGATAGAATGACAACTTCAACAGAGCTTAAACAAACTACAAAATTGGGCAGACGAAAACGGCTTCAAAATCTCTAAATCTAAAACTGTGTGCATGCATTTCTGTCAAAAACGAAAAGCACACAATGACCCAAACCTTACACTCGATGGCACTAGAATTCCTGTTGTTGAACAAACTAAATTTCTCGGCCTCATTTTTGATTCGAAACTCTCTTTCATACCAAATATAAAGTATCTGAAGGATAAGTGTTCCAAGGCGTTAAACATTATACTAGTCCTTTCTCATACTGATTGGGGAGCGGACCGTGAAATGCTTTTGCGTCTATACTTATTCGAACAAAACTGGATTATGGCGGGCAAAGGCTCGGCGATCAATTATACTTGACAAAAGAAACAGCTGGAGAGAATGTGTATCAAATATATATCATCAAACACGTCCTCCAAAAAAGTGTGGGGTATGATTAGGAAAATAAATGGGAAAAAGAAAAAGTCAACATCCTCCAACCTCATTAATAAAAACAAAATGTTTTCGTCTAGGTCTGAAATTGCTGATGCATTTGCAAAAAACATAGCTAAAAACTCATCCCCTTTAAACCACTCCCGAAAATTCCAGTCTTTAAAGAAAGAAAAAAAAGGAAAAGAAACGAAATTTACACAAAGAAAGTTATTATGAGCTATTTACCCTACCAGAACAAGTTTACGCTTCCGGAAAGATTCCCGATTCGTGGAAGAACTCCACAATTATACCTATCCCAAAACCGGGAAAAGATGCTACTGACCCAAACAACTATCGTCCTATTTCTCTGACTAGTTGTGTATGTAAAACTTTAGAACGAATTATAAACACAAGACTGGTTTGGTTTCTTGAGGCCAACGATATAATTTCCCCTCTTCATATTAATTGAAAAATTGTGTGCCAAATCGATAGGATTATTTTTAGTGATACCATATAGTTATGTGTCATATACACATAAATTTACTGGAAACACAATCTACAATATCATTGATATAAATTAAAAACATTAATGGTCCGAGGACCGAGCCTCGTACGCCTGCTTGTACAGGGCCAAATGTTGATACAAACCCTTCTGTTAAACTCCGTTTCCTTGAAATTAAAAAGTTTTTGAACCAATTTAGGAGAATACATGAAACACCATAAATTTCTAGTTTATGTAAAAGTCAATCATGCCATACCCTATCAAAATTCTTGCTAATATAACAGAGATGAATATAATTTCCTTATTTTGATCTAGGCAGTTAACAATGATGTGATATAGGAGTGTAATTGATTAACAGGTGATCTTTTGGAGAAATAATATGAAACACATGTATACGCATAATGAACAAATGCATAGACATGATCATAATTGACCGTAATAGTGTTTATAGTTCACATCTTTGTTACATAGTTATGCAATATAATGACTTCTGTTTAGAATAGAGTTGGTTTAAGCTGATTCATTGCAGTTAAAATAAATTCATAGATATAGTGTTGGCAGGTGTATGGGGATTCCTAAAGGGGAAGTTAGTTTTATCTGTACACACTCTGTCTCAATGCGATAGATAACAACACTGTAGGACACATCTATCAGGTGACTGTGTGTGTGTTTGTGTGTGTCAAGGTTATGGTCAGAGTCTAGAATAAATATAACACGATGATAAAATAGGAGTAGTATAATTACACACAAGCACAGCAAACACTACAAGCAGAAATGTTGGATGTATTTTTTGGTATGGATCCTCTGATTGTCGCCCTTGGCATATTAGGTTTGCTGTTTCTCCTAAAACTGCTGTATGTCCCCAGCAACAGTCCTCCTGGACCTACCGGGTATCCACTGGTGGGGAACTTTCCACTCTTTATGTCTGGAAGCAAAACGAAATTATTTAAGCGGCTACGACAGACATATGGAGACGTGTTTAGTTTGCGGTTAGGTAGTAAACGAATGGTGGTCATCAACGGTTACAAGGCTCTGAAGGAGGCGTTTGTAAAGAATGCTGATGTGTTCTCAGAGAGGCCCCCGGACGTGTACACCTCCAAACGGACGAGTAATGGCAAAGGTTTGTAACAAACTAATGACTAGGTTAGACATGGCTTTAGTATGTGAAACCCGATGGTCACGTGGAATTATGCATAATTGACATTAGCCTTCAACCGCGTATATAAGATTAATGCAGTGCAGGGCTTTAATAAGCATACATGCATGACTACTTACGATGTAACTAACTCTACTTTGGACGGTATTGGTACGGCACTATACAAATATTAATAATGTTATACTATGACGCTGTTTACAATTTACAATATAACCAAATATTCAAAAGCACACAAAACAAACACATATCATCATTATAATCGTTCCTTTTTTACATTTCTTTAGTTGCTATAAAAGAAAACAACAAATACTAATATACACGAAATCCACACAGACATACTCAGAGAGCCAGACAGACAAACAGACAGACAGAGATGTCGGACTGTCCGATTTAACGTCTGATTGATATATGTTATCATAACTTATAGCTAAATGCAGGTGATTGATGAAATGGCAATTAATAATTTAAGGAATGTATTTAGTGTTAAAAAATATCATCAAGGTTGAGGATGAGGATAGTTCAACCCTTTTATCCATATTTTGTAATTCATTAAGTAAGCTTATTGAGATGTTGTTATCCCTTTCCATATGTTATACATTCTGAAAATTATAATATTCCGTAATCAAATTTACTAGAGCCATAACATTAAGTGCACAGTGTAAACATCTAGTTTTGTAAATTCATTATCAGTTCTATTATAGATTCCTGCTTTTACAATACATGCAAAAATAACATTTTTTGCTGTAAAAGGGAATGGCAAGCGTATTTAAGAGATTTTCAAAACAATTCCAAAAGCTTTGTATTTAAGTGAACTCCCATAGGATATGAATACTTGTCTCACTTTCTATAAAACATTGAACAAAGAGAGGGCTATGTGTTAGTCGAATCTTAAATAAGCATGGATTTGATGTTTAAATACAAAATAAGAAATTATTCAAAATTGTAACCATTGTAACTTCGTGTTATTTGTAACCCTGAATAGAACAGCATACAGTTTGTTTTAAAACACTTATCATTATTATTACCAAAAACAGTTCCCCCATTTATTTTGTCCTGTTCCAGTGAAAATATTTTGAACTTTAAAGAACTTCTGTGACCTTTAGATATATCAAAATGATATCAATGTGTTAATGGTATGATTGGGTAAATCAACATTTTGTTGGGTACATTGTATTTATTAAGATATTGATTTATGCTCAACATTACTACTTGATACTGATGATAATTTGTTATTTAACCATGAAGATCACAAATTCATTGAAAGAGAAAAAGGAACAAATTCTAATATTTTTTACTAAATCACTGATTATTTTAATACCCTTATTGAACCAATTTCTATAGAAAATGGAAGAAGTATATCACTACTACACTTTTAACCACCTATCAAAACAACTTGGGTTATCCCTGTTATTGTCATTATTTTGAGACTAGAACTTTTTGCATAAAGATTTAACTCTCTTTAAAGATTGTTTTTGTTCCGTTTATTATTAAAGAAGTGTCATCTGCACATTGAGAATTTATAATTTAACAGTCATCAATATTGATACCAGTCATATTTCTATTATTTCTGATCCGAATCTCTGCAAAAAAGTATAAAAAGCAAGGTGCGATTGGATCGCCTTGGCGACAGCCGAGTTTTGTATTAAAGAACGATGATAAGTTACCCTCCTGATTAATTGCAGAACAAGGATTAGAATTTAAATTTTTACCCAATTTCTAACATAATAACCAAATTTGTAGTAGTAAATGACTATATCTATAAATTTTCAAAATCAATTCATAGTTTCATACCAGGGATATTATTTTCTTCAGCATACTGCATGCTTTCTTAGATAAGCCTAGTATTTTGCCCTAAGTAACGTCCTGATATGAAAACTGTCTGATCCGAGTTTATCACTTTTTCTATAACTAATTTAAGTCTCCTATAAGGTAGCTATAGATCCTAATGCAAATTTGTACACAATATTTAAAAGAGAGAAAGGCCGCTATTTTTTCATAAAATATTTTAGCAATGCAAGTAATGATGTACTGACGTTTAGAAACTGGCCATTTAAATAACCATACTTTAATGATCTAACAACAAAGTTTCCAATCATCTTCCAAAACATTTAACCCAAAAATATGTATTGCACAAACCCAGACAAAATCGCGTGATTCCGCTTGACTATTGTTCATGCCATTCTTATCAATATTTTGTATCTTTTGGACCAAAAAGCCCTCAACCAAACAGACAATCTATATTTTGTATCATTGAAACACCTGTTGTCCAACTGTCCCTGGTCGGCTGATTTTATCAATGCCAACATATTATTGCATAACAAATTAATGTCAACTTTAAAAATTATATCACAGAAAAACAACACTTGATAACGATATGTAATTTATGTTTTCTTATATAAAAAGGTATGGTCGATAATTCCGGGGAGACTTGGAAACAGACGCGGGCATTTTCACTGCGTGCTATGAAAGATTTTGGTTTCGGAAAACGATCTATGGAATCTAGGATTCTGGAAGAGGTATCCGTTTTTCTTGAAGTTTTGGAGAAATCATCTGGAGACGCTTTTGCATTGGGAACGACCGCGCAGATCAGTGTTTCGAACATCATATGTAGCATTTCCTTTGGTGAGAGATATGCACATGATGACGAGATATTCAAAACATTAATGCTGACGATTGATAACATTGTTGATGCGCTTTCCAAAGCTGCCATCACAAATTTCTTCCCAATTCTACGGTAACTACAAACTTTGAATTACAGTGTACATTCTATGCTTTAGTGGTGATTAGTGTTTATGCTACTTCTGTTAACCTGGAATGATGGTGACAGTTCAAGGATAGCTATGGGAATGCTTGGTTGATGTGCAGGGTTCTATGAATTTAACCATCCATTTATAGAGTATGGACTTATGACAATACGTTATTATATATATTTGAATCAATTATAACATCACAGGATGAAGCCAGGTGCTGTTTAAGTCCATATACATGTATGTATAGATAATAGAGTTGGAGTATCAGTATAGGAACATTAAAATGTGTCAACAACTATATCAACTATCAACTTAATCATACATTGTAGCTGTTTATCTCGCCACTTACGTGATCTGATTTGATAATACATATGAATAATAATCATAGCAGATCGACAAAAAAATATACCGAGGTTGGTTAAGTTAGGTAAAAAAAATATGTCTTCGAAGCAACTAAAATATAAGGACATATAGTTCCAGTGCTCGCTGATGGTATATGATTTACAAAAACTCCCTTACAGGTTACATATCACTAAAATGTTATATTTAGACACGACAACCTAAAACCTCCATGGCCACATTATTTCAACGCTGTGGGAATGATGAGGCTGGTTATGACATTTTAGTAGTATAACAAAAATGGCGCATTAAAGTGCCCCTTGATTTGTCTCTTGAACTGTTGACACCGCCTTTCGATAATCTTCGCTGTTGCGAGGATGCAAACTCGTAAACAGTCAAATCCACCCTTAGTTCGAATATCTTAATATATTAGAATAAGGTACTTGCATGTTTAGTGGATGACACCACTACAATAGGAAAGGAAATTGCAACGGGATAGAGCAATATGTAATCCCAGAACTACTAAGCTCTAGATGGAAGCACCAATCACTTTGGAAACAGTAGTTTCCCGGACTAGCACCTGTCATATCAAGTTATGTAATGATAAAGGATATTAACCATATCAAATTATGATACAGTGGTTAAGAGAAGAAATTTGATGCAGTTGAGAAAATCATGTCTTGATTGAAACTTACGATATTGAACAGCATGTGACAACATTTCACTTAACTTGAAATCTGTTTATTGTTCCGCGTTTTTTTTTAGATATTTTCCTGATAAGTTGACTGGTGTTGAGGCGCTGAGTACGAATTACCGAACTGTAAGAAGATTCATGCAAGAGCAGATTGACAAACACCGGGCTACATTTCAAAGGGACAATATCAGAGACTTTATCGATACCGTCATAAAAGAACAAATCGCTAATGGCAAGACAGGGGTCTTGGATGGTAAGTCACCGGTTAATTAAAGCATCAGATTTTTGTTTTACATTTACTTTTCGTTTTCGTTTATTTTTTTATGCCTGTGAATATTTTGTAGCCTATATAGTTATTACATGATCACCTTGTTATCAGTCAAAAAACTCTTAAAAGTAACTTGTGTTATGTACGAACAATTCATAATATCTGTATTTTTTCACTGACTTGCCATTTTATTGTGAGGGGAAAAAAATGTCGATTTCAATTGTGAATTTCAAGTCTTCATTTAAAAATGTTGCTTTTACTAAACTGATATTTTTACGCCTCTTTGAGTTCAAGATGAAATTAATGAGCAAACAAATTGTCATTTCCAGATGAAAATGTGGCGATTGTGTTGTACAATATGTTTGTTGCTGGGACAGAGACAACAGCCACTACCATTAAGTGGGCGATTTTGTTTCTCATTCACTTTCCAAACGTGCAGACCAAATTACGTGACGAGGTTGATGATGTCATTGGACCTTCACGAGCTCCGTCAATGGATGACAAAGCAGAAATGCCATACACTGATGCATTCATCCATGAGACTTTGAGGATGAGTAACTTAGTCCCATATTCTCTGTTACATGGAGTCAAATGCAACACCACATTTCAAGGGTACACATTGCGTACTGACGACTATATAGTCCCTAACCTTGAATCCGCTTCGTTCGACGAATCCCTGTTTATGGACCCTCATACATTCAACCCAGACAGATTCATCGGTGAAGACGGGAAACTCAACGGAAAAGAGCACTATGTTCTCACATTTTCGTTAGGTGAGCATAAGTATTTACAAATATTTTGAATTGATCAGCGAAGGTTTTTTGAGATCAACAAGACCCTTCTATCACTTTTCTGTATTATTTTTATCCTTCTTTTCCTAATTTTTAAATTTCTACTGTTGCCATACATACAGTCTACTTATGGGCTACCTACTTTGTTGTGTGTTTAATATTTCTTTGGGATTATATTTCGTGGTTTTATTATATTTCGTGGTTTTTTTAAAACCACGAATTTAACGAAATTAAATCCCCAACGAAATACTATGTTTTCACTGTATCCTAGTATATTGAATAATAGACATTTACTTTCCTATTGCATATTCAATAATTTTTTCCACATTACTTAAATAAATAAAGGAAGAAGAGTATGCTTTGGTGAAAGTTTAGCAAGGATGGAACTCTTCTTGTTCCTCACTTCATTGGTGCAGCGATTCAATCTTCTCCCAGAAGATGATGTCAACCTACCTTCGCTGGAATCGGTACCAGGCGTAGTTAATCATCCCCGAGAGTTCAAGTTCAGGGCTGTAAAGATAAAATAAGCATGCATCCATATATACAAATCAGTCAGATAATTATATCATCACCATACCAGCAAACAATTAGGCATGCTTTCGTTCTTTGTGTAATGCGCTGTTAAAGATTAAAGGTTATACATTAATAATGCTCTTTCAGTCAGTTTGGGTTGTTCAATCTTATTGATATGATGTTTTGAGTTAAGGACTAAGACGGGTTCTTTATTTTGAAAGATGATAATAATTTCAGATAATCATACTACATGTATTTTATATTTCTTTGAAATGTAACTAAATTGAACATATTTCGTGACATTTTAATAAATATCATTGATGATATTGTTTGATTCTTCATCTTTGTATAATTACTCTGTATACCATAATCTGCGAACAGGCTATATGTTACCAGCGTAACCATTGGTGTACACCTCGTGTCTATTTAAATTTAAAACTAAGATAATGCAAGTTAGATGAATATGATAAACAGCCGTCACTTATTATGGTTTTAAGCTCACCATCATCAGGCAGACTTGGAGCTGTTCAAATCGCTTACCGTCCGTCAGTGCTGAAACAAATCTTGGTAGCAGTATTTCTCAGAAAGTACTGGAGGGATCGGTCTCAATTAAGTACTTAGTTATCCATTAATTTTTTGGACTGAAAATCAAGGTCATAAGTTATGAATTTTGATTTCTCAAGCTGATTTAAAAACAAAAAACAATGGCCCACAGGCGGTCCTCTTGAATTTTGAGAGCCAAGCAGCTTTGTTTGATTTCGAAAGTTCCAGTTTGTATACTACATGTATTTCCCAAAGAAGTACGAGACAGATCTGTCGCAAATTTCTTTAGGTTCTGCATGTTACACATTTAATACTACGCTAGTGAATAGAGTAAGCCAACGATCTCACTTTGAAAAAAAACATCATCATTCACAGCAGTACGATCGTTTCATGTAAAGTTACCGAAGGTGCATTTACTGTTTATATGACCCAATCCAACCGATAATAGACATTATCAATTTTACATGGTCAGGTTATCTATCGTCCGCTAACACCTTTCTTTTCAAACATCGGTTTCGAGTGCAGAAATGTTTTTTAACGGAGGGGATATGCTGGTCATCGGTAAAACATGCGATGGGTTACTTTTTGAGAAAATAGTAGTTGGATTAAATTGCAGAAAATTATAAAACAAAAAATGATGTACTACAAACAATCAAACAACTCCAACACTAGCAGATCAGGATGCCTTGGAAGAGTTTGTGGCTGAAGTTGAGTGTAATGGTTTCTATAAAACAACAGCAAAGAGGTGAAAATATAAGCGTGGGAAGAACATAGTCAAGACATAGACTATAAGAAGGGAAAACAGTTAAGTGGTTAAGGGATACCTAGAATTGTCAAACAAGTGATAGTATGGTGTTTAGTTACATAAAGTAGCCTATGAGATATTTGAGAGTATACTATGAAAGCTAGTGCTTTGGAGTTGCAGGCATTGTTAAATGGATTAATAAGTGCAAACTTGTGATAGTTATGGTCCATTAAATATTGATGAAAAACAGTGTAACAGTTCATATATTTGTTACAATTAAAGGAGTGGCTTTCTGTGACGAAGATAACACATATTGAGTTTGGGACCTTTAATTGTTTAGTTCGAGAATCTAAGCAGAAATATCGTATTGAGTTATATATCTGATTAATATTACAGACAAAGTTGCAAATATTATCACCAGTGACCACTAGCTATATGACGAATGGACGATCCTATCTAATAGATTTGTTTGTTGATATGCAGAAAGCAATACAATTTAACTAAGTCACTACAACATATGGCCGTTTCATCTATTTCAAGATTCAAGATTTTTTTATTACGCTCTGACACACAAAGTGTGTAACAAGAGGTCAAACAAAATAACATGAATCAAATAAAACATGACAGAGATATCATGGACAGAGTAAGCATTATTTCATGGACAGATTCAGCAATATTTCATAGACAGATTCAGCAATATTTCATAGTTAGATTCAGCAATATGTCTTAGATAGATTCAGCAATATTTCATAGATAGATTCAGCAATATTTCATAGATAGATTCAGCAATATTTCACATTGTTTGATGTACATATGTATCAGATGTATTGTTTCAAAGTATCATTATAACAAACACATGGACAGATTCTGCATCATTTCAAACATGTGAAACAGAAAGATTATACATGAACAGATTCAGCATTATTTTCTTACATGTGAAACAGAAAGATTATACATGAACAGATTCAGCATTATTTTCTTACATGTGAAACAGTAAGATTACACATCATTATTTCATACATGTGAAACAGTAGTATCATACAAGGACAGATTTAGCATTATTTCACACATGGAGATTACATGTGAACAGATTCAGCATTAGTTCACACGAGTGAGAGTAGATTACACATGAAAAGATTCAGCATTATTTCATGCATGTGAAACAGTAATACTATACATGAACGGATTTATCAGCATTATTCATATATGTATTAAATACACAATTTTCACAGCAAATTATCTTCAGATTTGCCATAATGCAAAGTATAGTATTTTGACATACTCATATATATAGTTCAATTGGTGTGTTTTTTTATAATTATTTGCAGTTTTACAAGAAATGTACCAACCCTTTTAATTAATTGTTTGTTACATATTGTAAACATTACTTTCATTTTATCGACATTAGGGTTCGTGTAATAATATTTTGGAATAAATTTTTCCCTAATTTGGCGTATGGATTCTTGTTGACATTTAAACAAAAAATGAAATTCATCTCCTGTTTCATTTCTATTACACAAAGTACATTTTCTTTCCTCTCGAGGAATTCCCATCCAACGGCCAGTTTCCAGGGGCAGCGGGAAGTTTGACGAGCGAAATTTGCAAAACACAACACGGTCCCTCTTGTTTAGTTGAGTTAAGTAATTTTCAAAACCAACATTAGATTTAAATAATAGATAATTTTGTCCACTACAACTGATCATAAGCTTTTGTGTTACAGCATGTTTAAGTTTTTGTCGTTATAGAGTAGTCACTTTTTGGGATGTCCAGATATATGTCATCCCTAAATCATTTAGTGTAGTTTTGATAACATTTAGCCACTTCGAGTGAAATGCGCCCGTTTCGTGCATTGCATGCATACTATTATATAACTGACTCGATACTTTACCGTTTTCTGTTATTAGTTTGTGCCAAAATAAAATCATTCTACTTTTAATAGCATTTTCTAAAGGAAAACGTCCCGATTCTCCATATACCATAAAGTTAGGCTTAGTTTTTCTTAAATTGAGAGCTTTTATTATAAATTTCAGATGTATCGTTTCCAGGAGGGTAATATTTTCGAATCCCCATTTCTCTGAGGCGTATAACAGTAAAGGCAATATTAATGTATCAACAAGTTCAAACTGTAGGTCTACTGGTAAATTGATATTTCTGATTTTCCTATATAAAGCAAATAATGCTTTCTGGGCTTGATCAGCTAGTTTCTTTTTCGCCTTACCAAAGTTTCCAGTATAGTTAAACAATAACCCAAGGTACGGATACGAATCTATAATTTCAATTTCCTCTCCGCAAAGCATAAATGTACTATTGATTGTCGATTTTCGTTTCGAAAAGACAACTATTTTAGATTTATTAGTATTAACATGTAATTTCCATATTTTATAATAATCGCCGAATACATCTAAAGCTTTCTGTAGACCCTCGGGCGCTTCTGCCAGTACGGCAGTGTCTTCCGCATATAAGATTATCAATATCTTTGAGACATTTCACCTCATTATCAATCAGGAACTCCTCTAGATCATTCAAGTAGATCGAAAATAGAAATGGCGATACATTTTCCCCTTGTTTTAAACCGATATTGCACGTGAAGAACTGAGTCTGCTCGTTTCCATTTTTTACACATGACTTAGTATCAGCATATAAGTTATAGATTACATTTAGTATTTTGCCATTAATATTGCTTCTCACCATTTGTTCCCAAAGTCCAGCCCTCCACACTGTATCAAAGCCTTTTTTTAAAGTCAATGAATGAACAATATAACTTTTTATTATAGGAGAAATACATTGATATTAGTGTTTGCAATACAAATATATTTTCTGTAGTAGAATAACCTTTCCTAAAGCCAGCTTGGCTTCCATGAACAAGATTTATTTGATCAGATCATTGATTCAGTCTATAGTTGTCAAGGTCATTAATGTCGCTCTTGTTCTTGTATATTGGTTTAATTAGCCCCACAGTCCATGACTTAGGTATTATACCAGTATCTAATATTGTATTAAATACTTTAATATATATATTTATAAAAGGCTCCAATGAATATTTTATATGTTCATTCAGGATCTCATCGTTTCCACATGCTTTATTATTACTAAGATTTTTAACAGATTATAGCGTGTATACATTTTTTTTACACCGAAAACGGATTTACGTGTATCAGAGAAAATATTTCTTATTTTCATGTATAAAATCGTTCATCCCAAATTGGTTTGATATATCATTAATAGTTTGCAGTAAACCTGCCAGTCTAGCAGTTTCATTTCCTTCAATATGATTTGAGAATTCTTGCCTTTTGTTTGGGTTCCATTTTACAAAATCGTTGCATTCCATGGTCACTTTAGGGGGATAATTAGGGGAGTAGCTATCATTACAAGTGCAATTAAATTCTAAGCGACAATGTACATCATAGAGCAGTGGATCAAATTCTTTTACTTCAAAATCTTCAATAAAACTAAATAATTCTGATGAAACAATCAAATAATCCCCTAAACTGACATCGTTACATGTTGTTTTTTTACCAATCAAATATGACGATCTTTTCCAACTCTTCCATTAGCAATGTATAAATAAGTTTATACATAGATCATATATCTTTGAATTTTCTTTAGGCAAATAAACACATCCAAATAGTGCATCAGGATCTGTATCAAGTAGTTTTTTTAAACTATCATCCACTGGATATATTCAGAAATTTTAAATGACTTTTCATTTTCTCTTTATAAATTACAACAATACCGCCTGATTTATTTTTACAAGATTCTCGATGTTTAGCATGGTATGTATACCCAATGGGAAATTCCAGCCATTTAGGAACATAACATTTTTATAGTGGTGCTATCACAGGATTTCAAAATAAATAACAAAAAAAGAGCCATAATTCCGGATGCTGCCATGGTATAAAATATAGTTTGTATGCAAATCTGTCATGATACAACAAACTCAAGATCTACTGATAGAACCACCATTTGAATAAAATCAAAACATCGTTTCATTTTATCTGATATAATTCTACATGCATAAACATCCACCCTAACATCAATACTGATTGAAGTCATATCGACGAAAGCAATGCCTCTTGTAACATCAGCAGTACAGAAGTTCGCTGAACGTTAAAGATGCTACAAGCTTTACTTAGTGTGGATCCTTTGACTGTCGCACTTGGTACATTAGGTCTGCTGTTTCTCCTAAAGCTGATTTATGTCCCCAGCAACAGTCCTCCAGGACCTACCGGGTATCCACTGGTGGGAAACTTTCCGCTCGTCCTGTCTGGAAAGAGAAGTGACACATTCAGAAAACTTCAGCGTAAGTATGGAGAAGTATTTCGTTTACAGCTTGGAAGCAGACGCATGGTGGTCATTAGCGGGTACAATGCTCTGAGGGAGGCGTTTGTGAAGCATGGGGATGTGTTCTCAGAAAGGCCAGAGGACTACGTTTTCAAGCGTTTCAGCAATTACAAAGGTACGCTTCCTTACGTTATTTGCTTGATAGTGCGTTATTTAGGTACATAAAACCTATGAACAGCGACATTACATCTGCTTTTTTGTTTTGTTTTTAAATGACTGTAATATCTAATGAAGGTACGTGAATCAGTTGTATCACAATAGTTGTGTGTTTCCGGTCACCATACTTACTCTAATATTTGGTGCCTATCCAAAACTGTTTTGACAATTTTCAAGCAAGCACTTTTAAAGTCGAGATTACTCTCCTACATGTTTACATAACTTATAAAATATGTTGAAAAAAAGTTACATACCTACCCTATTTTCAGAAATGTGACAGGAGACAAACATGGTTTGTGTTTGTCCTAACTGCCATATAACAAAAAACGATTTCTTCATGGTTAACATAATTGCGATAATCAACATATATCAATAGGTTAGGGAAAATAATAGAAAAAATATATAAAGATACAAATAAATGGAACGCGGATGGCAGATCACTTTTTGCTCCTCCAGCATTCATTTAGTAGAAAAACACAAAAGGAAACCGTCGATTCTGCAAAAGCCCCCCACTACCGTATAGTGAGTTATTTCAATTTTGCATGACCTGTTATATATATTGCAGGCGACATATCATGGTCATATACCAGGGTTCCCTCCTCCTATGTCTATCTATCTATATGTTAAACTCCACGGAGACCAAAATGGCTTTAATGGTATTACCGTGATCCCGTTTCAATGTCATCCGATATATTTGTTTTGTCACTAAATAATGTCAAGGGTTTTCAAGGTTGTTCACCTGAATGAATTTTATCTATTTTTCGATAGTACAGGGTTGAAATAAGCTAACGAAAATAAAGGGGTATTTTTACATAATCACGAATCATACAGTGACAGGAATAAAACATGATTAAATGGTAAAAGGACCTCCTATAATCGGAATGTAGCTTATGACAGATGTATCTAAGACAACCCATATAACTGCACCTTTGAAATAACTTTGGTCGTAGATACAGCATATCGAAAATGGATTACGCGGCACTTTACAACTGTTTCGTCTTTCTTGGTCTCATCAGTGATGGTAGTGGCCGCAAAGTGGAAATCTAAATTCTACCAAACTATTGTCGAAACAGTGGGGCGGATTTTCGGAGTGATGGGTGCTTAAACCCCTTAATTATATGAATTTAAACCAACTAGAGGAGTATTGATTAATTTCTAAATAATAAGGAGTAAATTAATAACCGTACATCAACTCAAAAGGGATAACTGTGGGCATCCTAGTAAAGGCAAACCACGGGGACTAAGAAAACCACAGCAGAGTCTACAACCTTTTATCCTGAAAGATGGTCCTGAGACCCACACATGATACTGCACCTTTCAAATTTTGCAATAGATGCATTATGCAATTTAGATAGAAGCTAACCAAATTTTCTACTGAATCACCTAAACGAGCTTTCGATGCTACAGTGGTCAAATAGGTGAAATTCTTCAAACAATTTCTACCCTTATAAATGTGTTACACAATTTACCAAACAGTCTTTAGGGGTATAGAAGTATTAACTCATTTACATAAATAATAATTTAAAGGACGAAGATGTTAACAAAATAAGCCGACTTCTACAGACCCATTATATCTAGTCGTCTTCTAAGAGTTGTGTATGTAGCTTTCTGAACGGAGGACTGATAGGTTTTCTCAACGATGTTGGTAACGTACCTGTCCAGCCATGGTTAATGATGGAACCGTGCACTAATAATGTGTCGATCCAAATACCAGTAGTGAAACTTGTTCACGGAATCTTAAGTTAAATTCTGAACCGCACATAAACACAAATAGTTCATACGTATAGCCAACGGATTACAAAAGCACAAATAAACCCTTCACATTAAGGATGACATGGAAAAGCGTGATTTTGTAATCCCTATTCGCAAACAATTCTTGACCATATCATAGAAAAGATTTTAAATATCAATTTGAATCCCTATTCAGGATTTATGAAACACGTCAAACTTTTTATTCATTTTAGTTCACCAGAAAGTTAGGAATCTTGCGAGAATAAAAACAAAATCTGAGTCTCGCGCTATCAATTCAAAATAAAAAGAAACTCGTGTGGGATTCAATATTAACGGAACAAACTAGTAATGAGATGAAATATAATGGAATACTGGAAAGATAAATGTAGTATGCCGTATTTTCCTATTTCTATTTGTGTTGTTTCAGTCGTCTATTTTTTTTCTCTTACTTTAAATCCATACAGGCATTGTTGCTAGTTCTGGAGAATATTGGAAGCATACACGGACATTTTCCTTTGCTGCTCTCAAGAAGTTGGGGTTCGCAAATAGGTCTTTGGAGTCCAAGATTATGGAGGAAGTTTCCGTGTTTCTTGAAATTATTCGTGAAAAGAAAGGAGAAGCATTTTCGATCCAACCTACCGCTCACCTCAGCGTTTCTAACATCATGTGTAGCATGACATTCGGCAAGCGATTCCAACATGATGACAAGGAATTCAATGAGCTCATGAAAATGACAAATAGACATATAGCTTTGATTGAAAAATCCGCCATCTCCAATTTTTTCCCAATACTCAGGTAACCACTAAACAGCTGTCATACTTACTTTTACTTGTATAAAAGTAGTGTTTATTATTGGTCATTTACTAGGCATTAGATTTTTAAAAAAATGCAGGGGTCGAAATCAAGACTTTTACATTGCAAAACGTTCATTTATAAACTGTTGCCATTTGGGAATTGTATTCACAACAGATATCTCGAATGTATGATCAAAGAGTTTATTAATAATTTGATAATGAGAGTTACTTATCAGACCAAATTTGCCGGTTGTACGGTATGAATACGATTGCCGGTTGTACGGTGTGTACACGGTTGCAGGTTGTATGGTGTGTATTCAATTGCCATTTGTACGGTGTGTATATGTAGGATTTCTCGTTTCACGGAGTGTATTCGATTGACGGTTGTAAATAAATAAATATACAACATTTGATATAGCGCCCTATCTATCGCTTTACAGTACATAGATATACAACTTAATACAATGAATACAAGTAGCATATACATTAATCAATACAACTGTACGGTGTATATACGTAGTGTTTCTGGATGTACGGTGTTTATTCCATTATCAGTTGTACGGTGTGTGTTTTGTTAGGCAGTTGTACGGTGTGTACACGTAGGATTTCTGGTTGAACGGTGTGTATTCAATTGCCAGTTGTACGGTGTGTATTCGAATGCCGGTTGTACGGCATGTATACATGGGGTTTCTTGTTGTACGGTGTGTGTTCGATTGCCGGTTGTACGGTGTGTATTCGAATGCCGGTTGTACGGTATGTATACGTGGGCTTTCTTGTTGTACGGTGTGTGTTCGATTGCCGGTTGTACGGTGTGTATACGTTGGATTTCTGGTTGTACGGTGTTTATTCGAGTGCCGGATGTATGGTGTGTACACGCAGGATTTCTACTTGAACGGTGTGTTTACGTAGGATTCCCGGCTGTACGTTGTGTATTCAATTGCTAGTTTATGGTGTGTAAACGAAGTATTTTCCGTTGTACGATGTGTATAGATAGGCTTCTCGGTTGTACGGTGTGAATGCGTATGAGTTTCAGTTGTACAGAGTGGAAGCGTAGAGATTTTGGTTGTACGGTGTGTATAATACACTATTGCTATACGATTGCCGGGACGCCGACAGAACACTGACTTCCGTCAGTGTGATGACACCCGCAAGGGCGGATTCATGTAGGCGCGAAACCCGTTAACCAACCAACCAACCAACGATTGCCGGTTGTACGGTGTGTAAACGAATGATTTTCGGTTGTACGTTGTATACGATTGCCGGTTGTACTATGTATATTCGATCGTCAGTTGTACTGTGTGTATACGTACGATTGCCGGTTGTACGGTGTGTATACGTACGATTGCCGGTTGTACGGTGTGTATAGGTAGGATTGCCGGTTGTACGGTGTGTATAGGTAGGATTTTTGGTTGTACGGTGTGTTTACGTATGAGTTTCAGTTGTACAGTGTGTAAATGTAGGATTTGTGGTTGCACGGTGTATATACTACACTATTACTACTCGATTGCCGGTTGTACGATGTGTACACCCGTACAACCGAAATTACTATCCGATTGCCGGTTGTACGTAGGATTTTCGGTGGAATGGTGTGTATACGATTGACGGTTGTACGGTTTGTATTCGATTGACGGTTGTACGGTGTGTGTGTATACGTAGGATTTCTTATTGTACGGCGTATATATGTAGGATATCTGGTTTACGGTGTGTATATGTAGGATTTTCGATTGTACGGTGTGTATATGTAGAATGTTCGGTTGTACGGTGTAAACACACTGTGTACACGGTGTGTATACGACTACCGGTTGTACGTTGTGTTTTCGACTGCCGGTTGTTCGGTGTGTATTCGACTGCCGGTTGTTCGGCGTGTGTACGACTACCGGTTGTACGTTGTGTTTTCGACTGCCGGTTGTTCGGTGTGTATTCGACTGCCGGTTGTTCGGCGTGTGTACGACTACCGGTTGTACGTTGTGTTTTCGACTGCCGGTTGTTCGGTGTGTATTCGACTGCCGGTTGTTCGGCGTGTGTACGACTACCGGTTGTACGTTGTGTTTTCGACTGCCGGTTGTTCGGTGTGTATTCGACTGCCGGTTGTTCGGCGTGTGTACGACTACCGGTTGTACGTTGTGTTTTCGACTGCCGGTTGTTCGGTGTGTATTCGACTGCCGGTTGTTCGGCGTGTGTACGACTACCGGTTGTACGTTGTGTTTTCGACTGCCGGTTGTTCGGTGTGTATTCGACTGCCGGTTGTTCGGCGTGTGTACGACTACCGGTTGTACGTTGTGTTTTCGACTGCCGGTTGTTCGGTGTGTATTCGACTGCCGGTTGTTCGGCGTGTGTACGACTACCGGTTGTACGTTGTGTTTTCGACTGCCGGTTGTTCGGTGTGTATTCGACTGCCGGTTGTTCGGCGTGTGTACGACTACCGGTTGTACGTTGTGTTTTCGACTGCCGGTTGTTCGGTGTGTATTCGACTGCCGGTTGTTCGGCGTGTGTACGACTACCGGTTGTACGTTGTGTTTTCGACTGCCGGTTGTTCGGTGTGTATTCGACTGCCGGTTGTTCGGCGTGTGTACGAATACCGGTTGTATGACGTGGACTGCCTTTTGTAAGTTGTTCATATCTCAATAATACTATAAAAAATACCGAAACTTAGCGAGAACACATTTCATTTTAATTCTGAAAACTGTGACCGACATGGCGTCTATTGATTTGTTACAGATATCTGCCAGGGGACCTTACACATATTGAAGAATTGTGCTCCAATGTCGGTAACATTAAAAGTTTCCTACAGCTCCAGATCGAGCAGCACCGAGCGACTTTTGACGGGGAAAACATCAGGGATTTCATTGATGCATTCCTTAAAGAACAGAACGATAAAGGGACATCTGGCATCTTTGACGGTATTTGTTGGTTAAATTACAATTCGATTATGTTGTTTGTTTAATTTAGGGGAAAATGTAGCACTAGTCGATTTGAAGATAGGAACCTAACAGGCACGCAGCTGCTTATTCGTTTGAACGCAGGAAATCCACCAAATTTTTCCAACAACAAAAACCCACTGCTTGTTGTACCTTCTTGTCCCTCTACCAACGCCCTGTCCTAGACCTTCTTGTCCCTCTACCAACACCCTGTCCTGGACCTTCTTGTTCCTCTACCACCACCCTGTCCTGGACCTTCTTGTTCCTCTACCAACACCCTGTCCTGGACCCGCTCCTACAGTGTCATTGAATCAGCTCCGAACAGTGGCTAGCTACGCCCCTGCCTAACCATTCCATAGCCATATACAGCCTATCCTGTTAATTAACCATAATCTGTCGTTTGAAAGTATCTGACTTGGCATAGCCCACTACTTGATTATAAGTGTATAATGTAAATGCCAAAATATATGCAAATAGGTTTTTTTTCAATGACTTTAATAACATTAATTATACAGCGTTCCACGCCCATGCATGTTTAATTCAGTGAAAATACAGTACAGGGGAAATCCTGAATCCTTCAGGGTCCCACATCATATATATAGTCGCAAGATTCCCACATTAGTGGCAGGGTCCCACAATATATATAGTCACAAGAGTCCCACATTAGTGGCAGGGTCCCACAATATATATTTACATAGTCGGATGGGTCCAACATTATATATATATATAAATATATTTGCAGGGGTCCAACATTATATTATATATATTTCCGCATAGGACTCACACTATACTTATAGTCGCACATTATACATATACATAATTTATATATATAGTCGCAAGGTCCCACATTATATATACATGTACATGTATATAGTCGCAGGGGTCCCACATTATATATCTATATTAGTAGAGGTCCCATATTTTACATATATAGTCGCAGGGGTCCCAATTTCTAATATACATATAATCGTAGTGTCCCACATTATAAAAACATAGTGTCAGGGGTCCCACATTATATATATATATATCGCAGGGCCCCCTCATCATGAATAGAGTTACAAGAGTCTCATAGTATACATATATAGTCGAAAGGGTTCCACATTATATATAAAGTCGCAGGGATCCAACATTATAATTTTAGTCACAGGGTCCAACATTATAAATATAGTCACAGGGTCCCATATTACATATATGTAGTCGCAGGTCTTCCACATTATATATATATAGTCACAGGGGTCCCACATTATATATTTAGTCGCAAGAGTCCAACATGATACATATAGTACACATAATATATATATATATATATAGTCGCAGGGTCCCACATTATATGTATGCATATTCGGAGGGGTCCCACATTATATATATATATTTGCCAGGTTCCCATATCATGTATATAGTCACAGGGGTCCCTCATTATATCTATATTCGCAGGGGTCCAATTTTATATATAAAGTCGCGGGGGCCTCACGTTATATATATAGTCACAGGGTCCAATATTATATCTGTATTCGCTGGGGTCCCACTTTATATATATACTCAAAGGATCCCACATTATAACCATAGTGGCAGGGGTCCCGTATTATTTATATATATAGTCGCATCTTACCATATCAGAATTGAATACACTGCGCACATTTATTTACAAGTCCTTGCTGAGGCGCCAAAAGTAGCAAAACCAAAGCATAGCTACAGTAAAAGCCGAATGGACAGCTCATTAATAAGATATCTTTCTTTAATCTTTATATGTTGGTAGTAAACCAAAGTACGCTGTGTGTTACTTTTCAGTGTAACGGGGTTATACATTTTTTTAGTTATCATTTTTCTTTTCAATGTACCGGCCTTTTTTTTTAAATGATTACACACATTTTCATTTTGTGATCTAAACACTGTTTTTTTCCTCTACAGATGAAAACCTGATGATATTGACGTTAAACTTGTTTAATGCTGGCACTGCGACAATAGCGGTCACGATCAGCTGGGCAATCCTGTTTCTCATTCACCATCCAGACGTGCAGACGAAATTACGTCAGGAGATAGAGGATGTCATAGGATTTTCTCGACCTCCGGCTCTGGCGGATAGGGCGGAAATGACATACACTGATGCATTCATACACGAGACATCACGGATGGGCAATATATCACCATTTTCTCTACTACATGGAGTCAAACACGACACGACATTCAAAGGGTACAAAATATTTAAGGATGACCTCGTGTTGCCTAACCTTGATTCAGTCATGTTCGATGAAACCCTGTTCGAAGATCCCAACTCATTCAATCCAGAAAGATTTATCGGTAAAGACGGGAAACTCAATGGAAAAGAGCGAGCTGTTCTTGCATTTTCGTTAGGTGAGCATAACTTATTGCATTTATTTCAAATTTAATATTAATTATATTTTTTTGTTCCTAGTTTTCTATAGAATAACCAATAAGTACAGGTTCACATATTAAATGTATAAATATTTGTATGTATACACTTTTCATTGCCGATATATATTATTTTCATTTGTTTTATTTTTAGGAAAAAGAATGTGCATGGGTGAGAGTGTAGCGAAGATGGAACTCTTCTTGTTTCTGACGTCGTTGGTACAAAAGTTCAAGCTGCTACCGGAAAATGATGAAAAGCTACCTTCGCTTGAATCAAACCCTGGCATTATATATTTTCCTAATGACTTTAAGTTCAAATCGGTGGAAGTAAAATAATATTTTTTCATGCATATGAATTAACCAGATTTATAAGGGAATAATGCTTGGACATAAAGAACGAATTGCTTTTTAACCAAATATTACAGGTCCATCACCGGAAAAGCACTCAACAACATAACTTATTAGATCAATATACTCTCTTTTATGCAGCAAGCAGTTATTCACACATATAAAGTGCTATGAGTATTAACTTTTACTTCTATTGTTCAAATGTGTTTGGTCATGTTTCAAGGGAGGTAACATTTATTGATTTATTTGTACCAAAGGAGGCACCAGCATAAATTGAAGAAAGCGGAGGAACCAGGGAAAAGAAAGAAAAGATACTGATGTTAATTTGTAACGAAACAGCAGATCCATTTTGTTCTCTTCAAGGTCCCGTTAGCATAATATTTTTGGCATACAATTGAACAGAAAAAAGAACGGGTACATATAATTATGGCAAGCCAAGTTGTCATTTATTCATGGAGCAATGTTGATCCAGAACTTAACCATATTATATAAGATATCTTATTTAATTATATAAGATATTTTATATACTTTATGAGATATCTTATATACTTTATAAGATATCTTATATAATAAATAAGATATCTTATATAATAAATAAGATATCTTATATACTTTTCTTTATAAGATATCTCATAAAAGATATAAGATATCTTATATATTATATAAGATATCTTATATGTCATATAAGATATCTTATATCTTTTATGAGATATCTTATATAATATATAAAATATCTTATAAAGAAAATTAATTGAAATATTTTATAAAAAATACAAGATATCTTATAAATTATATCAGATATCTTATATCTTTTATAAGATATCTCATAAAGTATATAAGATATCTTATAAAAGATAAAAGATATCTCATAAACTTTAAATAAGATATCTTATATGTTTTCAAGACATCTTATATGTTTATAAGATATATTATATAATTCATGAGATATCTTATATAATTTGGTAAAGTACTGGATCAACATTGCTCCATGAATAAATGACAACTTGGCTTGCCATATATAATACTCTCACACACCTTGATATATATCTTTTTATGCATCAAGGTAGATTATCTTTTTGTAAAAGGTAAATTATCAACACAATGTCAGGTGTTTTTGTTACTTTTATTGTCAAAATATGTCATATCATATTGAAAGATCAAAGTGACTATCTTTTAGTTGAATCATCAACGTTATCTTTGGCATATTTCAAATTTTTGGAAACAGCTGCTATACACATTTATTGCTATATAGATGGCTTCCATGTCGATAAATTCTTGTTTCAAAAGGACAATTACTTCTTGATATCTTTTTTTGATGAGTTATGCCATCTGTTTCGTGGCTCGTCCCATAGTCATAAAGATGAATCCTCCCTCATAACAACGGCATTGGAATATACTTGTGCCTCCGAATACCAATTAATGATAAGGATTCGGACCTGCAACTTTTATATTGAATTCCGATCGTTTACAAGAAACTTTATAAATAACGTTTTACCGCTGTCTCTGCTAGTTACTCAATCAAACAAATTTTCAATATTTTTTTTTACCTACAATAGCCTTTTTCTCGCTTAAGATCAAGCATTCCTGAACGTCCACTTAATGCTACCAAACCTAATATTAAACAAAAGGAACGTATCTATTCTCTTATTGTTTTTAGTTCCCAGACAGGCGAACGGCGATGTAGAAAAAATAAGTGTTAAATTTTAGAGCATATGTGTAAAAATAATAAAAATAAAACAAAAATAAAACAAGGCACGAAATTGATGAAAGGATGAAATCGTAAAAATTATCGTGTTCCTGGTTGACAATTTGTTATGAGTTAAGTGGAAAGATTTTTTTACCAATCTTTTCTCTTCTTCTGGCCGATTTGTTTTCAGTGTACATTTGAGGCTGTATTTATTGAAGAACTTATCAGGACAGGTAACGATAACCTTACAGAGTCCTACAGTTTCACATTCGGATACATCGACGATGTGCTATCTCTAAATAACGAACAAAATCACTAACCAAATCTTTGGTATATAAATGTACCTTCTCAAAATTGAATTCAAAGGCACTTCAGACTCTTCTTTACCAGCCTCTTGACCTATAAAAAATAGAACGTCAACACATTTTTGCTGACTTTATTTACAGTAATTAGATACTGAAGAAGACTTACTCTGTAATTATATTATGTTATTTGTTGAAAGGGATATTGATAGTAGTTTTGGTCAACCGATACATATCATCAACCGATACATATTATCAATGGATCTTCGTAGGTATGAACCAAGATAAAGTTATAACACGAATTATATATAATGAGTTGAAGTTAAAAATAGCGGAAGTGAGATAATGTTTCCACTAGTACATTCCTTAATCAGATATACATATGTAAGAGAATAATGTTTGGAGATAAAGAACGAATTGCTATTGGACAAAATATTACACGTCTATCGGTAGAGAAACACTGGAAAACATAATTAATCAGATCAATGTACACTCTCGAATGCAGAAAATATTGACACATATTAATTAAGTGTTATAAGTATTTACTCTAAATGTGTTTAGTTGTGTTTCAAGGGAGATAACAGTTATTGACGTGTTTTGTACCCAAGGATGCACCACCTAAAGAAAGCGGAGGAAACAGAGTGATGAAAAATTTCGTAACGATAACATCAGATCAATTTAGTTCTCTGTAAAATCATCTGTGTACAAAATATGTATCTGTTTGTATATCAAAAATTAAATTATCAACACAATGTCAGTCTTTTTTTACTTTTATTGTCACAAAATATCATAATATTGAAAAATCAAAGTGACTATCTTTCAGTTGAATCATCAAAGTAATTTATGGCATATTTCAAATTTATGGGAACAGCTGCTGTACACATTTATTGCTATAAAGATGGTGTCCATGTCAATATATTCTTGTTTCAAAAGGACAATTACTTCTTGATATCTTTTTTTGATGAGTTATGCCATCTGTTTCGTGGCTCGTCCTATACTTATAAAGATTAGTCCTCCCTCATAACAACGGCATTGAAATATACTTGTGCCTCCGAATACCAATTAATGATAAGGATTCGGACCTGCAACTTGTATATTGAATTCCGATCGTTTACAAGAAACTTTATAAATAACGTTTTACCGCTGTCTCTGCTAGTTACTCAATCAAACAAATTTTCAATCTTTTTTTCTACCTATATTAGCCTTTTTCTCGCTTAAGATCAAGCATTCCTGAACGTCCACTTAATGCTACCAAACCTAATATTAAAAAAAGGAACGTATCTATTCTCTTATTGTTTTTAGTTCCCAGACAGGCGAACGGCGATGTAGACAAAATAAGTGTTAACCATTTTAGAGCATATTTGTAAAAATAATAAAAATAAATAAAACAAGGCACAAAATCGATGAAAGGATGAAATCGTAAAAAATTTCGTGTTCCTGGTTGACATTTTTTTCATGAGTTCAGTGGAAAGATCTTTTTACCAATCTTTTCTCTTCTTCTGGCCGAGAGTCCTACAGAGTCCTACAGTTTCACATTCGGATACATCGACGATGTGCTATCTCTAAATAACGAACAAAATCACTAACCAAATCTTTGGTATATAAATGTACCTTCTCAAAATTGAATTCAAAGGCACTTCAGACTCTTCTTTACCAGCCTCTTGACCTATAAAAAATAGAACGTCGACACATTTTTGCTGACTTTATTAACAGTAATTAAGTACTGAAGAAGACTTACTCTGTAATAATATTATGATTATTTGTTGAAAGGGATATTGATAGTTTTGGTCAACCGATACATATCATCAACCGATACATATTATCAATGGATCTTCGTAGGTATGAACCAAGATAAAGTTATAACACGAATTATATATAATGAGTTGAAGTTGAAAATAGCGGAAGTGAGATAATGTTTCCACTGGTACATTCCTTAATCAGATCTACATATGTAAGAGAATAATGTTTGGAGATAAAGAACGAATTGCTATTGGACAAAATATTACACGTCTATCGGTAGAGAAACACTGGAAAACATAATTAATCAGATCAATGTACACTCTCGAATGCAGAAAATATTGACATATATTAATTAAGTGTAATAAGTATTTACTCTAAATGTGTTTAGTTGTGTTTCAAGGGAGATAACAGTTATTGACGTGTTTTGTACCCAAGGATGCACCACCTAAAGAAAGCGGAGGAAACAGAGTGATGAAAAATTTCGTAACGATAACATCAGATCAATTTAGTTCTCTGTAAAATCATCTGTGTACAAAATATGTATCTGTTTGTATATCAAAAATTAAATTATCAACACAATGTCAGTCTTTTTTTACTTTTATTGTCACAAAATATCATAATATTGAAAAATCAAAGTGACTATCTTTCAGTTGAATCATCAAAGTAATTTATGGCATATTTCAAATTTATGGGAACAGCTGCTGTACACATTTATTGCTATAAAGATGGTGTCCATGCCAATATATTTACGATATATTTTGTAGATGAGTTTAACAAAGCTAGAGTTGACAAAGTTCTGTTGGTCAAGTTGCTGTTTCACATGATCGCAAGGTGTAGGTTGTTGTCTGTGTCCGTCTTTCCTACCCGCTCTGTCTCGCTCTCCCTAGCGTACTATTCTGCCTCTTTTTTATCCCCCAATCGCTACTTAACCCCATGTTCCAATTTAGCTGAGGTGTGTATCTCTGTTCTTGTCAACACCAAACATGTCAGTCAATGGTAGTTATCTCTAATTACAGGTTTATGCAGATGTAGGCAGTTGTATTTCTGTTATCCAACATCCAATTAACCCCATCTTATATTAACTAAGAGATGGATTTCTGTTGATTATATCGGGAACCCTTTATTCTAGGGGTCACTGTCCGTTAGTTGATTGCTCAATAGCAAGGCCTTAATTAACAGCAAATCAAAAGATAATAATGCTCCCTCCAACACACCACCCTTCGCTATACTCCCCTATGGGGGTCACTGTCCATCCGTGGTGGCCCCATAGCCAGACCCAGCTATTTATAACTCTATTCCATAATTAATTCATACAGCATTTCCGACAAGCCTACGGTGCCGTACTACGGTATACTATTTACATTTGCATGGCATTGTCGCTATATAGGCTATTTGAAAGCTATGTCGTTGATAAGACTTTAAATACCACGCACTACGAGACATTATTCTTTGCGTATTAATACAACACCGACCGGAACTACAATTTCCAATGTAAATAAACATGACGTCTGCTGAAATATCGCTGGACAAGGTGAGGCTTGACAATGAAATCTTAGATGTGCCAAAAAAAATACAACATTAAATCCAAAAAAAACACAAAACAACACTAAGGTCTGCGATATCGTACAAAATCCACATAGTTTGAAATAAGCAATGGCGGCAATGGAAACAACTTTAACACTCATGCAATTTATCAGAAATATCTTCTGTTACATTGCACTGATCAACAGGGGTTCG